TGAGCCAACCCGAAGATTCCTACGTGGATGAAACCTGACGACTTCTTTGTGGAGTTTCCCTAGAGGTTCCCATGTGGATTTTCCCCTGTTGTTCCCTGCAGTGAGCTGGAAGCTCAACCAGAAGAATCCTTTGTGTTAATTCCCTGTTGTTCTCTGCAGTGAGCTGGAAGCTCAGATCTAGGCAGCCATGCTAAGCATTAAGCTAGATGCTTAGCTTTCATGAACTCTGCTAACATTCAGTCTCCAGTCACAGTACTGTCTCCAGTGAACCTGCTCCCCTGCCTGAACCAGTTCCGGTTTCATATCCATGTTTGTTCCGCAATAAACTCTTTTGGACTTTTAACCCAGTTTCCCGTGTATGTGTTCTGCATCTTGGGCTTAACTATAGTAACCCATCATGACAGAACACTGCGGCCAGACCCAAAGCCCAGCAGATCACCTCCGTCGTTGGACTAAGAAAAGGGACGCTCAGATTCATGAACATGCACAAACCCTCCGTGAGTTACAGTTAAAATTCGCTAACCACTTCTACAATGCTAACACCACGTCAGCGGCTCGTCCTGCCCCGAATCCACTTCCATTTCCTAGGTCACCGGCAGTGACGTCACTTACAAGTCAAGATAATAACCCTCCTTTCCGGTCAGAACACAGCCCGTCGTTCTCGTCACCCGGTCCTTCTCTGCCTGAGAGGTTTTCCGGTAATCCAAGTAAGCTCAAGTCTTTTCTATTTCAGTGTCGGTTATTTTTTCAATTTTATGAGTCAGATTTCCTGTATGATAGGGATAGGATAGCTTTTGTTGTGTCTTTTCTGTCCGGTGAAGCCCTTGAATGGGCAGAGACCAGATTCCCGTCAAAGTCTAGATTTAACTGTTACTATGAAACGTTCATCCGGGAGTTTGAAAGAACTTTTAGTCAGTTCTCTAAGTGCTCCGTTTCCGGCAACCTTCTGAAAATTAAACAGGGTAATAGGTCTGTTGCAGAGTTTTCTTCCGAGTTCCAGAGTAAAGCAGCCGTTTCTGGGTGGAACGAGTCTGCACTTATGACCGCGTTTCTCCAAGCTCTAAATGAACCGGTCAGAAACAAGCTAAGTTTTTATGTTGAGCCAGATACCCGTGAGGATCTCATAGAGCTAGCAGTCGGTTTAGATATTGAACTGCAAACTAGACCCAGAGCCGTACAGCCTGACCAGACACCTGAACCCGTCACCGTGGTTTCTAGACCTTTTCCCTCGCCTGATTATCTAGCTCCCCACATCCATGAGTCTGATCTCTGGGATTATTTTTATGGGGATAGGGAGGATATCTTCCCCTTCGAGCCACCACATCCAGCTCCAAGACCAGAAAATAACCCAGTTTGTTTTGAACCTGACCCCATGCCTGATTTGTTAGCCCCAGACCCTGTAATCCATTCTGGAATTCTTATTTCTCAACCGGTTAATTTATCGTCGGATTCTATCAATACACCTGCTAGCTTAGCTCCCAAGACCCCTCGGCGTAAGAAACGGCGTCGCCTTAAGTCAGCTCTGTGCCGTCTAGAGACCCCTGGGTCAGCTTTGTGCCGTCCAGAGACCCCTGAGCCTGCTCTGTGCCGTCCAGAGACCCCTGAGCCTGCTCTGTGCCGTCCAGAGACCCCTGAGCCTGTTCTGTGCCGTCCAGAGACCCCTGAGCCTGCTCTGTGCCGTCCAGAGACCCCTGAGCCTGCCCTGTGCCATCCAGAGACCCCTGAGCTGAAACTAAAGAGGGCTTCAGAATGTGGAGTTGGTGAAAAAATGCCTCCAAGAGTCCCTCAGCAAAGGCCACAAACCACCAAGAGTCCTCTACAGACGCCTCAAGCAACCTCAGAGACTGAACTTGAGCCTCCATGGGTGGTCCCCCCAGCTCCTGAGGTGGAACCACAGTCGGTGGTCCTTCCAGTTCCAGAGGTGGAACCACAGTCGGTGGTCCCACCTGCTCCTGAGGCTGAACCACAGTCGGTGGTGTCACCTGCTCCTGAGACGGAACCACAATCGGTGGTGTCTCCTGTCCCTGAGGTGGAGCCACAGTCGGTGGCCTCCCCAGTTCCTGAGGCTGAACCACAGTCGGTGGTGTCACCTGCTCCTGAGGCGGAACCACAGTCGGTGGTTCCGCATGTTCCTGAGGTGGAGCCACTGTCGGTGGTCTCCCCTGCTCCAGAGCCGCAATCGGCGGGCTCCCCTGCTCCAGAGCCGCAATCGGCGGACGCCCCTGCTTCAGAGCCGCAATCGGCTGGCGCCCCTGCTCCAGAGCAGCAATCGGCGGGCTCCCCTGTTCCAGACCCGGAGCAGCAATCGGCGGGCTCCCCAGTTCCAGACCCGGAGCAGCAATCGGCGGGCTCCCCAGTTCCAGACCCGGAGCAGCAATCGGCGGGCTCCCCAGTTCCAGACCCTGTTCCAGACCCTGTTCCAGAGCCGCAGTTGGCGGTTTCTTCAGAGCCTCCTCCAGAGCCGCAGTCGGCGGTCTCCTCAGAGCCTCCTCCAGAGCCGCAGTCGGCGGTCTCCTCAGAGCCTCCTCCAGAGCCGCAGTCGGCGGTCACTACTGAGCCTGTTTCTGAGCTGCCGAGGAGAGGACGGGGTACCCCGTGGGGGTACCTGCTAAAGCTTGGGCGTCATCCTCCTGAGAAGCTGCTTCGCCTCCGGCCCCGCGGCAGACCCCCGGAACATCAGCTTCGCCTCCGGTCCCGCGGCAGACCCCCAGAGCGTCAGCTTCGCCTCCGGCCCCGCAGCAGATCCCTGGAGTGTCGGCTTCGCTTTCGGCCCCGCGGCAGACCCCCGGAGCGTCATCTTCACCGCCGACCCCGTGGCAGACCCTCAGAGCGTCAGCTTCGCCTCCGGCCCCGCGGCAGACCCCCAGAGTGTCGACTTCGCTTCCGATCCCGCAGTCGACCACCTAAGACTCTATTCCGTTGCCAGATCCTAGGCCGGCCTCCAGAACCTCAGCCATGCCTCCGGCCCGGCAGTGGTCCTCCCAAGACGCTGCTTCGTCTCCTGCCCTGTGGTCGGCCTCCTGAGCATCTGCCTCGCCTCCGCTGCCGGCCCCACGGTAGGCCACCTGAGACTGTGCCCTGTTGCCGGTACCTCAACCGGCCACCTGAGACTCTGTCCCGCTGCCGGTCCCATGACCGGCCACCAGAGACGTTGCCCAAAAAAATTTTTGGATTTTCTTTTGTTTTCGTCCACCGTAAGTGGATCGTTTTTTGTTCTGGACTTTGTTTTTGTTTTTGCCCTCCTGGCCTGTTTCCTCCGTCGCCCACTCTGGGTGGGTTGTTTTTTGTTTTCTGGACTCTGGTTTTTGTTCCTGGCCCTCCTTGCCTTAGTGCCCCCTCCGCCCACCCTGGGTGGGTTGTTTTTTGTTTTCTGGACTTTGTTTTTTGTTCCTGGCCCTCCTTGCCTTAGTGCCCCCCCCGCCCACCCTGGGTGGGTTGTTTTTTGTTTGTTTTTGTTGGACTTTTTCTGGGGGCGTCTGGAATCCGCCCTTGAGGGGGGGGTACTGTTAGGATCCTCAGGCTTGCCCTCCAGAGGGCGCAGAGGACCCTCTTCTGCTCTGTGTTTTTCCCTTAGGGTTGAGTACTGTGGGGATCTGGAGACTACCCTCTGTCTCCAGCAGAGTGCGCCGTGGGTCTTCTGGAGCTGGAACCTTCCTGCACACCTGTTGCTAATCCTCTCATCAGAAGACCTCTCCTATATAAGCTGACTTCAGACCTTGATTCCACACCGCAGTGTTGATCTTAGTTGGTTGGCTTCCTGAGCCTTCTGTTATAGATTGAGTCTTGGTTGTCTCTAGGTTGAGATCAGATTCTAATCTCTTTTATCTGTGCCTCACAGGAATCCTGTCTCCTCGTGAAGCTCTGGGTGAGCTTAACCTCCTGTTTCCTCGTGAAGCTCTGGATGAGCTTAACCTCCTGTCTCCTCGTGAAGCTCTGGATGAGCTTAACCACCTGTCTCCTCGTGAAGCTCAGGAAGAGCAACCTCTCTGGAACCCTGTCTCTGGTCTGCAGCTGTGGGAGAGCTGCATCACAGGAAACCAGTCTCAAGCCTGAAGCTCTTGGAAAGTCTAACCTGCTAATCTGCCCTGGTGAGCCAACCCGAAGATTCCTACGTGGATGAAACCTGACGACTTCTTTGTGGAGTTTCCCTAGAGGTTCCCATGTGGATTTTCCCCTGTTGTTCCCTGCAGTGAGCTGGAAGCTCAACCAGAAGAATCCTTTGTGTTAATTCCCTGTTGTTCTCTGCATTGAGCTGGAAGCTCAGATCTAGGCAGCCATGCTAAGCATTAAGCTAGATGCTTAGCTTTCATGAACTCTGCTAACATTCAGTCTCCAGTCACAGTACTGTCTCCAGTGAACCTGCTCCCCTGCCTGAACCAGTTCCCGTTTCATATCCATGTTTGTTCCGCAATAAACTCTTTTGGACTTTTAACCTAGTTTCCCGTGTATGTGTTCTGCATCTTGGGCTTAACTATAGTAACCCATCATGACAGAAGTATGTGTAAGTGGTGTTGGATCCGTAGGCTGTTGTGTCTGTGTGTGTGAGGAACAAAGTTCAAGGGTTAAAAAGAAAAAAAGGGTTAAAAAGGGGTTCTAAATGAGCTTCAAGTAAAAAATATTTAAATATATGGTCCTAATAATGATTAAACATTAATTTGAAGACAATAGGACAGTACATGTTTCACCGAAACAGCAGAAAGCCTCTATTCTGAAGATAGCCCACAATATGCTCAATGTCATCTGAGGAAGGCCATTTGTGGGCCAAACTGGTGCTCCTGGTTTGTTTGTACACTTTCTGTGTACCTTCTGTGTACCTTCTACTTTCTGTGTTTTATTTTCAAAGGTTTATAAGTACTTATGTTGCTTACTGAGTTAGTTTTTAATTAATGGTCGGACAAATGTCAATGAACTTTAACAGGACATTTTTTAAAGAGTTAGAAGTTTAGGTTTGCTTTTAGCCGAGTATCGTTCATGTGCAGAATGAGTGTGTGGTCTGTTACCTATTTTCAGTGGTGCATCCAGTGACAGGTCGGCATACAGCAGGTTCTCTGGTTTTAGGTCACGGTGAACAACGCCGTTACCGTGCAAATACTGAAACACACAGAAAAACATGGGAGGAGCCCACTGTGAAAGCTAATCCATTTAAATTCTACCTGGAACTGTGACAGGTACATAATGAGAGAGCAGAGCAGAGAGGAGGATGATGCCTTCAGGTGAGGGGCGATGTTTGGGTTGATGGAGGTCTGCGGGAAGATTTGGCAGGACGGATGTAGACACAGAGTGTAGCTCTGGACTGACAGATGGCCTCCTTATCAGCAGGAGCAGAGAGGAAATAACCAAGGTTGAGACAGGAGGAGAAGCTTTTAATCAGTTATAAACACTTTGTAAAGGTCTCAACGTGTGAAAGTTAACTATGGTCATAAATCTACATCATTTCTAACACTTAGTGTCTAAAAAAACACTTAAACAAGCTGCTTTGGTCTAAAAACCTGAATGCTTTTATTGAATCATAACTGATATGAATTTCTTAATTATTTTAAAGCAACCAAATTGTTCTCAGCAGCAGAAATAATCATTTTACTCCTGTTTTCTGAACTGGTCCACTCCTATGGTGCTTCAGTAGTTTCTGGTTGTCATGACTTTTGTTTTTCAATGCTTTGTTCATTGAAATGCTTTCTGTTGGCTGGACACTCATAGTATTATTATTATTAGGAAACATAATTCATTAAGTAAAAATAATTTTGCTGGTTCAACTTCTGCAGCCAGAGCTCTGATAAGAATTAAAATGGCTCATAATTTTTCTACAAGTTTATTTTCGGGTCTTTGGCTCACTCTTAAGAGAGCCAAAGAAACCCTGTTGACTAGACCTAAAACATTCCTTTTTAATTAAACTTATAGAGTGGCTTAGGCTATTCTTAGGTGTCACTCAGAACTTTAGCTCTTTCTGCGTTTTTCTTTTACTTTTCTTTGTTACCGGATTGCTGCTATTAGCTTTGTATTTACTGTCAGTAAAGAATACACTTAGACCAGTGCTTCTGTGTTTAGCTGCTTTCAGTATTTCTTGAAAAAAAAAGCCATTGGAGTTAGAATGTTATTGTACCCAACTTATTTTTTTCCATATAAGTACATATACAGTAAGTACCTTTTGGCTTCCTGTTAAGAGAGTTTTTTTTTTTTTTGTCTCCCCATGCTCGCTCTGGATAACAGATACTTGAAAAGTCAGTAAATGGATGAAATTGAAGCAATACCAACTCTAAGGTCTCTTCGCCTGTGCAGAAATGCAAGCCAGTTTAAGCAGAACTCAGACAAATGGAAAGTAGTTTTAATGGCGATATAATAGAGCACAGCGTTACCTGAGGCATTTAATGAGGCCTTCTGCCTGATGAGCAAATCTTAAGGCTTTGACAACAGGCAGCTTTATTTTCTACATCATCAGAAAAGTTATTTCAAGGCAGTAACTGAAAAATCAACAGTAAAGCCCACACTTTTCACGAACAGTGGAAGAATAATAAGGGACACAGCCAGGCTGGCAGTGAGTGGAGTTGTGTCTGACACCTTTTGCGGCTACAAATAGTTGGTGAGAGAATATAGCACATAAATGAGAGGATGAAAAATGTTTTTATTACACGTACGATCAGGCTGTGATCAAGCTGTGTATAATTATTTAGAGCCATTGCCAGCAAATTTCCTTCAGTGCAGTTTATTTCAACATGCATTTGTAAATAATTAAGCAATACAAGCCTTTTCCAGACTTAACAAAAGTAAACAATGTTTTTATAAGGAAAAAATTATAATTTTTAACCTTACAAATGAACAACCAGCAGCTCCTGCTGATTACTGTTGTGTTTAGCAGCAGACCTGTACATCTTATCCTAACATTCAATGTTAGGAATATATATATTATGTTTCATGCTCTAAATATCTCAGAGTAAGTATATGTTGTGAGAAAAAAAATATTCAACTATGCAATCCAGTTAAATGAAGGAGACAGATGGTAATTCACTCAGTCAGCACTTTACTATCCTTCTTTGCAAATAGAGAACAAGACAATCATAGAAATCCTTCCAGGTCCATGATCTGCCTTGTTCTGGTTAGACCAAAGTTCCTCTCACTGACTTAAACCCTGAAGAAAAGCTGTGAAGGTTGTTAATAATAATAAAATAAAATAAAAACTATGGACAGTTGGATATAACAGTAAATGTTATGAATAAATCCTGAGAAAAAGTCTAGTTTGTTAGGGAATTAATCAGGGATTAAGGGTTTTGCTCAGGAACCCAGACTGGAAGCTGTAGTGTAGGGAATCGGGTTCTTGCAACCTTCGCAGAGCACAAGCGCACTCCTCTAACCACTAGACCAGCACTCCCCTAAACTACTCCTCTACCTTAGACACCCTGTAGCCTTGCAGCTCTGAGACCCAAATGAATGCTTTTATGTGTAAGTAAATGTAAAATCAGCACTAATAAATCAATATATGTGAAAAGGCAATTATTGGAGATAGATTTTTCCCACCACAGTATGCCTATACTGCATGGCTCTCATTAATAACATTTATCTTTTTACTATATATTTTTTCAAACAAAATTCCCATGTCTGTAACTTGTTCCTAGTCCAAAAACCGTGATAACGTTTACAGAAAGAGAGAGCCGCTGTTTCTCCAGGTGAAGATTATTTAACTTCGGGATAAACTGGTATTCCTAATTGTTCAGTTGCTGAAGAGTCTCCATGATTGATTGCTAGGTGGCGTCACGTCAACTGCCTTGAATGAATTGGAAAATTTTTGTTCCAGTTCAGACCAAATGTCAGTTTTCTTGTAACTAATAATTATTCTAAAACACATTTTTCTGGAATTTGCAATTCTATTTAACCAATTTTTTTTTGCTTGAGCCATTTTATCTTTAGATATTTCTTTGGTTTTTACAATGATTTTGTACACTGCTAAATGTTAAACTTTTATCTAACTGCAGTTAAAGATACACCCACAGTTTTCAAACCTCCCATTCCTGTATTCCTAAAAGCTTATTAGGCTTAGCATATTTGAGACTTATTCTCCTTTAGTGGCTTATTATGTTTCTGGCCTGTTGACAGTTCACCTGGTTGAATGAGAGGTTCCTTTAGTAATTGCTTGCCCCTGTTCCTATTTCTTTTAAATATCCTGCAAACATCAAATTCCAGGTTGCATCAAAAGAATATTTTCATCAGTTTAATTAATGATCTCATCCTAGAGGGGAAAAAAAACATAACTTCCATTAGTGCCTTGAAGGAGGCTCCATGTTGAGGAACTGCTATAAAAAGATGTTGTGCTCTGGGACCACAGCGTGTTTCTTCTGCTGCAGATTAACGCCACATTCACATCTGACACAACAAATACAACTTCAGAGTAATCCCAACGCAGACACACACACACACACACACACACACATCAACAAGACAGGCATGCACATACGTAAACATGCATGCATAAACAGGCGTATGTTCAGTAAATGTGGGGCAGGCCTGGTCATTGTGTGTGTTAATCCTCTCTTGTTTTAATCTGTTCGGCAGCAGGATGGAAGCTGCTGTTACATAAGAGACCTGCAGCCGATTGCACGCAGCCACATCTACAAGAACTTTGGTGTTTACAACCAAAGCCAGACGCGGCGACGCCCACATTTACAAATACTTCACCAGGCACACAGAAATCACTAGTTTACCAAAGCAGACATAGTCATATATGGAGTACAATAAGATAATTTGATTTGGGATTGGATTTTAAAAAATGGATAACGGGATTTAATTGAGCTTTTTTGTGTTGCTATAAGAACTGAATCTTCCCTTTGAATGACAAAAATGACCCTGACCTTTTTAAGCGTGAACTCTTCCAAACCTCAGACTATTTGCTGTGATATTTGGCACCCAGGTGTCTGAAGCAGAAGCTTTTAAGCAGCCAGAAAAACTTACAAAGACTTAAGTTGTCTTCTCAGAACATCCAACAGATGTTGAACTGAGAGACTGGGAATTTCTTAGACCAGGTCAACACTTTAAACTAATTATCTGTTTTCATAATAGCTTTGTTGATTTTTCTAGTTCGGTGTGAGGAAATTTCCCTCCAAGTAAGAAAGATACAGACTTAGTGGGATCCTTCACAATTCATATTGAATAAATCTCCTTTTAATTTAGACCCCAAAGTTAAGCAGGGTGTCTATGGATTTATAAGCCAGCAACTCCTAATCGTGTCAATATCTGGTCTGTTTGCTCCTCCTTAATTGGTTATTTCCTTCACCTGCCGTTTTCCCTCCCTGCCTCAATTATAATTTATTCCTCTCACCTGTTTCTTCGGGGTTATATTCTGTTCAGGATGAGCATTCAGAGCCAGATCATTACTTGTCTTTCTGTTAGTCTGTTTATTTGTTTTCTGTCTGCCTGTCTGTTCAGTTTTATTTCATGGTTCATGTCCTGGATCCTGGCAGCCAGTGGAAAGAGGTTTTTGTGTTTGTCTCGTCTTCTGATCATCCACCGTTTCTCCCCCGCTGAGTCCTCTGGGTTTTTGGCTCTATATGTGGGGAGGTTCAGTTTTTATCCCAGTAAGCCTGGCTCCAAGGAGGAGACCAGTTTAAAGGTCCTGCATCAAGTTCTGGTTCCATGTCCTGTCTCGGCTACCCTCTGCCACTGAGCCTGCCTGTCTGCACCTGATCCTGTCTGCTCCTGTGCGTGACCGTCTGGCCACGCTTCTGAACTCTGTCAGATTCCGAACCTGTCTGGGAGCTTGGGATGGGCATAGGTTTGCATAGGGACCATAGGGACAAGTCCTTACTAAAACTTTGGACGGACCTACCTGTCCCTACCAACAATTAAATGTGAATGCCATGTTTATAATTTACAATACAGCTTTGTTGCAGCAGTAGAGGAGTTCTGGAATGGGGAATATTGACAGACGAAAACATGTTTTATCTAAAATGGAAAATGTTTATTTCTTTTTACAATTTTGGTATAATTCTTGCTCTAAGTTGGTCGCTCTGTGAGCTAAAGACATCTTTTAGAGTCTCGATACTCCATAATGATCAATCGATTACTAAATTTGTTGACATTATTTCAATAATTGATTAATCCAATAA